AGCATACACTGGTGAGTGCCATTCGATCGTTCGACTAAAATGGCGCCACGAGGCATCCCCTCCCATTCTCTCAGTTGCTATGGGACGAGAAAGTGTACCTCTGACAGATGGTCAATTCGCTAAAAATTTCTATTTTAAATGAGTAAACAGGTGTCCGAAAAGGAAGGCGCCATGGAGTAAAGCAAAAGATACGACACAAACCCTCACGCGCAAAAATAAGGTAGATTGTATTGTCGTCAAAAAGAAAGTCAAATGCTCTGATCCTGCATTCCAACCTTAGAAATAGAAAGGAAATAAAACATTGAATTATTCACTATTGTGAAAGGAAGAACATAACAACACCAAGTTCTCTTGGTTCCGTAGAAGCAGGATTAAGGCTATTAAGGATAAAATTGTATGCCCTAGTTTTAGCAACTTGTTTGGTCTGTAGTGCTTATCATCGTAATATGCAAGTTAAATCACCATGGCCATAAGTCGAAACCTTTCCTGTTTAAAAATGAAGTGTGTCCCAACGTATAAAAATGGATAACCGGTCGTACCTTGAACACTTCCTCGCATTTTATTTGTTGTTTTGGGAGCAGGAGGCCAGCACAGTTCCGAATCACAGTGCATTGTATTATAACGAACGTTATGAGACATTCGACTTATTTTTTAGCCTTGTAAAACAAAGTCATTTACATCCAAGATCCTTTTGGAATACGACCTGATTGTCAAGTTAAAACCTGGCTTTGGTAAAATGATCACTCGGAAGACCATTTAAAAAACCTTCTTTCGACTGGACTGGTCTTCAGAATATTTTAGTTACCTTAGTCACTACTGCATGGCAAATGAGTGCGTTCCGTCTCAATTCTATAGGGAAGTCTTTAGACGCAACGAAGATAGTAGTGAATGGTAAATCTGATCCCACTAAATATGTATTTAATGATCCATGTAATAATGACCTCTCTATTTCCCCATGACTCTCATACAAATTATTCAATAAGCCAAAGCATACGAATCTGGTTCAAGCTATGCCATTGAAATAAGCACAAGGCACTTCTGTGACGAACAAAAGGGAATAAAGTGCGGACCAAGCGGTTGTTGACATGAGGTAAACAATGGGGGCGATTGTTACCCACCACATCCAGCTACCAAGCCTATCACGAGACAGTTGTTCAAAAGCAAAGTCGATGAGAAGACCAGCCAAGGGGAGTAGTGAGGCAAATGAAGGTGTGTAAACAGTTCACTCAGGAGAATGGGTTTCAGAAATCGCAGCTGAAAACCAGCCAGAAGTTTATGACATGGAATTTCCCTTGTCTGGACTAGAGGTGCAAGTCAATTCCTCTATTTTTGCCCGCTTGGAGGATCGCTGCCCCTCTGAGTGAAATAATCTGTTGTCAGTGGACACTTCGATGTCTGATGCGCCAGAAGACGATGTGCTGTCACTGCTACTACTGCTACCACTTTCTGAGGTAGCTTCAGATAGCAGAAGTGAGCTAGAATTGTTGTTGTCGTCTCCCTTCGGGATGAATAGATTCTAAGGAGGAAATATATTCAAGCAACACACAATCCTTTTCCATAAATTACACACATGTGTACATTTAACCAAAGGGTCGTTGGTAGTAGCGATACATAAAAGTTGGAAGTGAAGCCTCAACACATTAAAATGAACTTAGCTAGACGAGCCTCTTCGAAAAAAATTAGTCATAGAAATCACAGTCTGCAAGATAATGTGATCTCCGATCGTTAATAAGTAGGGTATAGTATTTATAAACTATTCAATTGGTAGTAGTTGAGAACAGCTATCAATGTAGTTTAATCAATATTTTTAAGGCGTTTTACAGGAGCCTTTGAGAGTTATTGGGATAGTGACCTACCAATTCAATATGCTGCTGAGTCTCCTCTGGGTTCTCAAAACCCGCGGGTATTTCGCTAGATTCGGCAGTTTGTAAGAACCTCTGCACACGTTCTATGACTAAGAGAATTAAGAATGAAAATGCTTACGAAGCCGTGTATTCTCCGGATTAACAGACGGCTCCTTCTTGAGAAATTGCAAGTCCTGCAGCCTCATCCCATTCGCCAACCAGCTCGACAATTGCGCCGGTTCGCCGAAGACCTTGAGCCAGGAAACCGGGATGTGGTGCCGTCTTTTAATGCTGTATATGATGCAATATTTAAAAATTTTCTAGTTATTGTATAGCTTTTAATTTCAATTAATTATAGTTACTGCTTTTATCTACACGTTTTACTTTTATTCTACTTGACAAGGTCGCACTCTGGCCCAAATCTACAGCATCTGAGATGTCGATTGTCAGTGGTGTGCCAGTGGGTTCCTCAGATTCGGAGCTACGGGATGCTGGACAGATAAATAGCGATAATGGTATGTTATTTGCCCTGCTAGCTGTTGGTCTTGTTTATGCTATCAATGATAGGTGCTGAACTTGGCTTAAATGTTTATGCTTATGCGTCGAATGCAAGACTGTCTTGTTTCATTGGCACACTGTTTCCTTCGAATCTTGGTGCTAAATTTTCGCTTTGGGCGGCTTTTTATTTCCCTATACTTGTAGGCTAGGCGGCATTCTATGTACACAATACCGCGTTTTTCACTTCGAGGCCTTTCTTGCTTGTAGACAAATCACTATCATGTCTGATGAAACACAATAAAGCAGTCATTGGGGGGATTAACTCAGGCTGTTAGGATTCGAAATTCCACAAAGTTGTATCTACCGGAATTTATTTTTGCCAGCCTAACTTCTTATTTTAGTACAACGAACATCATTACTTCGCATCATGTGACATTTCACCTTTATTCTCTTGTTTCATGATCGTGAGCTTCATTTAAATTCAGGTAGGGTATTTTACAGCCCACATTCTTTGTGCCCACTGCCTACTGTACGATTCGCCTAGCGTGGGCCGATCAAATCAAGAATGAAGATAGAAATGTATGTGGGTTTATCCAGGCCGTCAAATACGAATAGACTGGGAGTGTTTAATTCAGCTACTTTTGTCGAAAATATAGCAGTTGTTGCACAAAAATTGCATTTTGGTATCATTAAGCAAAAAAGTCATTTGGTTATGCTCTTGTTTTGAGGTACTTTAAAAGAAGCGGCAAATTGTCTTGTGCTGTTTTTTGCAGGCGATAATCTTGAGGCCAGTAAGACTGGATATGCTTTAAAGAGCCTGCTTTGAAACCGCCATATGTGTTCAGACCCGAATTATATCCCACGTTATTTTGTTTACTCTCGAGATACACGTAGAGGTGGTGACATTATATGCCAAATGAAATTTCCAAATTGTCTTACTATGAAAACGCTGATGTATTTAAGACCTCTGCTTCCGTTACAGCGAGCGCGCCTCTAAGAAGTCAGAAGAGCTCCAGAAATAACGGTTCTCTGGATTTGCCTGGAAGAATTGAGAATTTTAAGTCTTGGAGCTCCACGGCTATGAAGTGCACGAAACAGGCGATTGAGGAGAAATTGGGGACCACCTCACCGACTCGCGACCCTGAAACTGAGGCTAGAATCGATGAGCTCAAGTAAATTCCTCTTTTCTTTTCTGTAGTCTTTTATATTTTTATTACATTTCAATTTTCTTGAAAGACAGAATGAACTTACTAATTGAAAAATATGCTTTTGATGTGCTTCCTCGTATTTAAGGGTTTATCAAAGATACACTCATTTTCAAATGATGTGGGTATACCATTTTCCTTAAGGTTATACAGAAATTTTTCTTTTTAATTAGTTTTCGAATGGCATTTATGCTGTGGTACGGTTTTTTCGACCTTCGCCTTTCAATAGTGATGTTGGACAGAACGCTTTGCAGACTTATTTGTAAACCTACCATCTCATCGCATCCTTATAATATTGGCGCTTTTACGGCTAGAACCACTAGATTTTCCTCATTGATGACGAGCTCGGTTGTCGACTTTTGGAATCAATTTGCTAATTGTTTTAAGAGGGTTAAATTCTGTTAACTTTTCTTGAAGGTAACGCCTCTCTCTTTCATGCTGTTAATGCACGTATATTCGCAAGTCTTTTCAAGCCTGGAATGGTATATTTGCGTCTCCTAGGTGACCATTAGTCATTTTTTTACCTACAACGAACTGCCGAAAATGTCCCGCGATAGCTTTGAGTTGTGTCGTACTTATCGTCATACTGCTGTTATGACACACAAACCGAGTTTTTGTGGCTTAACTGCTTTTTGATAAGCGAAAAAGTCATTTACCTTCCTATTCTATCAGGACCAATCGGTTTACAAGTTCTTCTGTTCTATCAAGCTTAAGCTAGCATGAAACCACGGTACCACTGTTTCGGTTTATCTGTCAGCCAAAAGTGTTCCAATGACAATGGCATCTCTCTTTGTCTCATCCAAAAATATCGTCCTGCAAACTGAAAGCTTGTCAATGCTATTGTAGCCTGTGTTAACAGTTGGTGTTTTTATCACCATTGCCTGTGAATTGGTTGACTCGTTGGTGGCACTTGGATTAGCGCTTGTTTGAAATTCTTCACTGTGGTAGAAATGAGACAGTGTTTGTGGATTTAATCTTATGCACACATACACTTAAGCAATTCTCTAACATCGACCTCGAAGACGTTCCGCATTCCATTTAGTTCCTTTTTGGTCCTACCAATAGACATCGGGCTTGAATAGGTGCCCATAGGAAGGAACTCAGCTTTTAGGAAGGCTTATTCGTCGATTGAGCGCCTGGTAGTAGTGGTAGTTCACTCGAAGAGGGTCAACTTTATTTAAAATAGTCAACTGTTCTTTGGTAATTTTTGTCCTGGATTGTCAATGGGACATCGTTTTGTATACATGTTCTCATGTGAAGGGGAAAGAGTTGGACTGTTTTTCAGCCACATCCTTGTTGGGAATACTTTGGAGTGTTTTCCTCGTTAAAGCTGGAAAAGGAAAATGTTTCTACGAGGCTTTTTCGCGTAAGACGCTAATCCGTTCCATCGATGTGAGCCCAATCGTAATTTTCATAACCTACTTCCTCCTGTGTCCAGTCACTTATCGTGCCAATAGAAAGTGATTCTTTGAATTGCTGGTGGCATTATCTGCGGGCACCAGAAAATGCAAAATAGATAAGCAAGTTCAGTTTATTGTTAAGATTGTTCAAAATACGGTTACCATAGCATACAGTTACGATAGCAAAGCACCCTCTTCTGCAAGCCCTATTTCCTTGGCGCTCACTTACGCACGGCGCTGGACTATTTGATGGGCGGGGGTAGCATGCGTTGGCTTGACGCAAAGTTTAAACTTTCATATCTTTTATGGTATCAGCTGCTCCTTTATTATCGGTTTAGGTCGAGCCCTTGAACATAGATTTTTGTTTAAGGTACAGGTGAATTATGCCTACTTTAATTAACTTATTTGCATTACGCTAGAGATGTGAACTTGGTGTTTTTTAATGCACAGTTTAACTCGAAACTCATTTTGGAAGCATAGGGTCAAGTTTGTTTAAAACTCTTTTGAATGCTGGAACGCGAATGCGTATAAATCGGGTTCTCTCAGCTTAGTACTGTGTTTCGGACATACGAGGCGTTGCCGGTCTGCACCAGATTAAACGAAGTTGACACTTATAATTCGATTCTGATCATAAGTTTGGATGTACTTTAGTGATTCCATTAACCTCGTTAGCACTCACGGATTCACACGATTTTTCCAGGCTGTTGTTCATATGATCCACTGCAGTTCAAACAAAAAGTGACAATCCTATAGCTACTTGATTCCTTCATCCTGCACCTCCCGTACTCTTTACCTCCTCCTTTCCATAATCAAACCACTACTCTCATAAAACAGCTCATATATGGGGACATGGGCTTCGCTTCTTTGGAATGTCTATGGCCCACGCGAGTGGATTGGCAATCGCTAAAGACCTGGCACCAACCATTAATCATCCATTTTGACTTTGCGTGCTGCTAAACGCGCTTCGCCTCGGTTTTAGTGCCACCTTCACTGGTTTGACAATTTGTTTTTGTTCCCCTGAAAGCTCATACTGTTTTGCATGGGAGCGGAGGCTGTGATGATTGTTTGTGCCGACAAAATTATCGGATTGGTAGAAACTAATGTCCATATGTAGTTGTCTAAATAATTAGCTGAAGTCTAGAGCTAGTGCGCAATACTTTTGGACTAGGTACCTTCGTGTGGCAGAATCCTCTTCATCGAAAAGCTCTATCATTTTCCGCAAATCAGATCCGCCAAGGCTCTTCTGTGAAAACAGTCCTCTTATAAGCCTGTCCACTGTTTACCGTTACAGTCCGATATGCTCTAGGCACGATGTGTGTACATCAAAGGTTATACGCCTTAATTTGCGCTCCACTTTTGGTCAATCAACTTTGGCTCATTTATGTGCTTCTTGGTTCACGTGAGACCTATTTAGCTCGCAAATTTGGTACTGTACTGTTTCCGATTTATTACCTACTTCTATGTGACCAGGGGCCTCCCACGCGATTTGACATCAATTATTTAATCATCCTTGTAGCACCCGGAAGATCAAAATAGTGATGTTGGGAGGAGAAGGGCACTGCTAGTTAACTCTCCATGGTAGTCTTGGAATTATTATTAGCTCGCTTGTATTTCATTTCTAGCACGATGGTGCAACAAAAATTGTCGCCAGCCTTCTGGCATAGTCATGAGCTGAAACGTGTATCATTGGGGTCACTTGCCGTTTGATAGTCAGCACAACAAATTGAGCACAACTAGCCATGCGAATCAAGTAAAACAGAGACCAGTCTGCAAATTGGCAAAAGGATATGGCGGATGGCGTCAAGTTGATGCCTGCTCAACCACAGTCTAGTCACGCTTTGACCAAGAGCGGGCTACTATGCACACCGTTAAGTGAGTTGATTGGCCAGAATCAGTAGGGTTGGTTTGCCACAAATTCAGATATTTTTCATCCACTAGAGCCACATTCGGCTTGACTTTCGGCATGTAATTTACAGGACGTGTTTATCACTAAAATGTATGCTTCCAGTTTCATTGTCTGTCCTCTTCACCTCTGGACAAATTCAAGTGCTCCCTTTGCCTGCTGTAGTGGTTAGCAGGGGGTGTCTAAGGGTGCTGATCCATCGGGAAATATAACCTTCATTTTTGGGTCTGCACAACCATCCAAAGCTGTGGACTGCATCTTCTCAGACACCAAAATACTAACTTTTTCCTGTAATGCTTATTTTTTTGTCTTAGACGTTACTATGAGTCTTCCTTCAATTCTAGCAACTGCCTTCCATTGTGAATTTGGTTTCATATTCCTCATTCAATCCCTTTTACCCCTCTTGACTTATTCTCACTGCAAATCACCGCTAAAAATGCGCTTCAAAACCTCGGAATGCCCCTTTGAAGTCCATAAAATCGAACGCACGTATACAGAACTTGAAGATTGGTATCACCGTGATTAGCACTACTAATGTAGTTGTGTTGGGTAACGTGTAAAAATGATTGAAAGTGCTTGAAAAAAGCACGAACATAGGAAATGTTAAGCTGGAAGTAGTGGTAGCACATAGCTAAAAATGTATGTTAAGACTCTGTGTCTTTTCGGTAAAGCAATTTTAAACGCTCATTCATGGAAGCAAACACAATGTGTTTTGGGATTTTAGAGCAGTCACTCTGTAAGAGTTGAGCCTTAAAGGGAGGTGAGGATATGTTGATGTGGTAAATTAAATCAACTCTTTGTTAGAACTGGCACTGGTCCCGATTGTGGAAATAGGCTGGTTCATCGTCTTAGCGCATAGCTGATGGGCTTTGCTAGGAGTAAAATGGTAACTCTCCAAAGTGACGGTTATTACTTCACATCAATAATGTGGTTTATGGTTAAGATTGTTTGATGATCGTGGAGCTGAAGGCATCACATCTTAGAACTTATCACGATTTGTTGCTATGGTACCCATCTTCTTGATTTTGACGTGAATTGAAGAGGCTTAGAGTAGTTTTAATGCCTCAAATTCTAGTTTGATGTGCATTTTATCATGCGTTTCTGTAAACTGAAGAAAGCTTCCAACACTACTATGCTGTATTTTGCAAAGGCGAATGCAGGCGAAGTATCAGGAGATGAGCGCCACAGTAAAAAAGATGATCGGGCAGATGAACGCGATGACCGGGTTGGAACAGTCCCTCTCCTCTCAGCTCACCATAGCTGCCCAGCAGCAGCCCGAACTGCATTCTGAATTCATGAACAACGCTGAGATTCAACAGGTCATCGCCGCCTCCACGACCAGCTACGTCAGTGAGTTCCTAGTTTTAATAACCTCTTAAGAGTACGTTTGATGTAAGCGTGTGTAATTACCTTTAATCAGGTCTGTCGTTTCCCTCACGTTTGCATTCATCGGTAGTGGAGACCCATCTCGGATGGCTGACCTGCAGTCATGGATATCTTGGCTACTAGTGGCTCAAACTTGTAGTTCCCTATTATGACACTTTCCATCCAAACGCTTAATTAGAATCCTTGGGTCAGTTATGAACACACTACTGTTCCTACCTACAAGAGACTGGCTTGCAACTCGGCCATGTGTGAGATTAATGACTGGGAACTGCGGAAGACTGCACATTTCGGTGTACAAATCGAATAAGTGTTCGCACATAGCATTCTCTCCTTTCCAAGCATCGTATTTTAACTGTGGGCTAGGAGCGAACACTTCTAGGAATATTCTCATCATGGTTAGAGGATTCGGCAGTTTGACTGTTCGTTTTGCTTTCGAGTGCATTGATGACTCCATCTGTTACGTCCTGGCTGCAAACTTAATTTGCAAGAACTTCATCTTGCGCATTCCATTGGAGTCCAGACGAGGTTTAACAGGAAACGCATTTCCTTGGTGAAAGTGTTTACTAACGGTCAGAACTGTTTAGTTAAATGCACAATGTGATGCAATTTTACAGACTTATATTTCCTCTTTGCTTTCCCTTTTAGCCGAATCTCTACTTGAATTGTTATTACTTTCTTGCACCATGGAAACACATGGTCTTCTTATAGTGTTTACAATTCAATCTTTTGAATTGAGCTGCTTCGTGCCGATTCAATTTGTTCAAACTTTAGTTGGTTTTGCCGATCTTTATGTGATTCAAAAGTGAGATGGCTGAAAAGTAGATGCACTTTTGCTTGGCCTCTTGTTAGGCGTTCCTGAATTCAGCTAACTAAACTAGATAGTCATTTTTAACGTTCAGCTATTAGGTCTAACCAGCGAACTTGGAAAACTTGCAGTTATTTCAGGGAGGGTCCTCTTAAAGGGGTCATTGATGCGGTGCCCATGTCACTCTTTAAAAGCACTAGACCACATTATTCTGGAAGCCATTTTGCTTTAAATGCGTAAATCGTCTTGAAATTTGGTAGCCTCCATGGCGTGAGCACATCTGTATCTTTGAAAGTATCATGAATCGCGCCTAAAGCTAGCGTTCTACAATGGGCTTAAGGCGCTCTGGAAATGTTTTGCGATGGTTTGGACACATTCTGCAAGAAGACGGTACCCGACACATTGAATACGATTCGGCAGCTGGAACATGCACGTCTTGTCTACGATGCCTATCGCAACGACCTCGACCGCTTGGAGAATAAGTCGGGCAGAATTGCGACTCAACAGGGGAATACGGGCGGTGACGTGGTTAATCCAGTTTCTACAGATGCTGTCGGTTTGGGCGCTTCCTCCACGCCTGCGTCAACGTCCAATTCTCAACAGGAACTAAGTGCTCAACAGCTGCGTCAGAAGTTTAATGTGGGGCGGGAAAATTACCTTGCGCTGAAGACTGACACGGACGTGAAGATCAAACTGCTGCATGAGAATCGGGTGAGCGATCTTTCCGCATCTGATTGCAATTGCTCATCCTATCGAGACCTGATGAATGCACGATTTCACACCCGATCTTGCTCTTTAACATCTTCAAATTAAACGATGCAGGTGTGTACTACCGCCCTTGAGGCAGAATAACTATAATATAGGCATCGGTGATTTTTCCAACAATTGACATTATTGTGCCGGAAAGGTTTGTGAAGCACTCTTCAAAGAAGGGGCTTTGAAAATGAGGTTTGTGGCGTTAGCTGCTGGGAGCAAATTGGCAGTTATTATTAATCACTCACAATCCCTGCTTGAAATATTCCCTTCATTTCCTTAAAGTGTATTCGAGTATGAACACACTTGTCTCTCTGCTTTAAACACGAGCTTTATTCTTTGAGCTATTTCTAGTTTTCAGACCAAAATGTTCAGCAGCCAACGGTTGCAGATGGTTGATCATGCATGTAAAAGAAAAACACCGGACCCCAAACTATTTAACGTCGGCACGACTTCAAGCAATTCTGTAAACCAAGAAAAAGTGTTGTAGCAGGAAGGAGGCGCCTTAATTGAGTTTACATGTCTCAAGTGTTCTGCCTTAGTGATCGACCAGATTGCATTTCCTCCACTCTGGAAAATCGGAATGAAAGCTAACGCATGATTCTAGTGTTAAAAATATTTCGGAACCGTCAACTTTTATCGTTTGGTCTGTCAAATGTATACAGTCACGCTAAAGCCTACGTTGGCCACATAAATTGTGATAAAGGCAATTCACGCTGCTCGTTTATTGCATGTTTTGTAGACTCGCGTAGTGCGAAAGCATCTGCAAGCTCTGCAAACGGCAATGCTTTCATACTTTGCCAATGGCTATCGCGATATGGAATCATCGTTGAAAACCCTATCCGAACGCAATGCTTTAACAAATTCCCACTCTCAGAACCAGCCTCCTTCCTCTTTTCTGGAGGCTGAAAGCCCCTCCACAGACCAGGAACCGGTTTACTTCACACCGGGAAACGGCGACGCGGAAAATCAGCAGCGCGACGTCTTTCACGAATAAAATTGCCCTCGTGTTATCCCGTTTTTTTTATTTTTTTTTGTTTCCCATCTTTTGCATGCCCAGTTCTCTTCGACTACATTCTCTTAGCTAATCTCCATGCATTTGTTTCGACAGTGTTGGTTTTTTGGCCAACAAATAATACCGTCCGAATTGGTATTATAGTTTGGCGGTTCCGTCCGGTACATACTCCTTGGTGGTGTTGGAGTATTCGGGCTCCAAATGAGCTTGTGATTACTCGAAAACAAATCTTCTTCGTTTGGTTTGATTCGTAGCGTGAGGAGTTTGAGGTACGCGGAGCGGCTGGGAAGTGTTGGGGGTTTGCGGTGTCGCTCTCACCTGTGATGGTGCGCCTGTGTGCACCAGTTGAGGGACAGCTCGGGAGAGACGTTCACTGTTCTGTTGTCTCTGAGGTTGGTAAGAAGTCGTAGGACCTGTTTAGAGGTGTAAGGTGCAGGAGACGGGAAATCATTTTGGAAAAGTCTGGTTAAAGGTATTGGGATCACGAACGGTCGATTTTTGTGAATGGATGGTCCAATAATGGATAGTCGCAAGAACTTCAAGCGTCTTACGAAAATGCTGAGATATAATAGTTTGATTTTAGAATATTTTTTGAATTACTTGAATATCTTGGAAAATGGCATTTGATTTAGAAGTGAAAATACCACAAATCACTTTAGATTCCCTTCCCGGTGGCCAAGGTCGGAGAGGTGGTGTTTATTCGCCATGGCAACATCTGCCTGGTTGAGGTCGATCAAAGAGGCTAAGAGGACTATTCTTGTACAAGACGGTAGTTTGTCACTAATTTTATTCATTCTCATATTCTTTTAAATTATTAGCTCACGATATTTCATGCTCTCAAACGCATAAATATTGCAATGACGTGTTTGAATTTGTGTTTCGCTAAACAATGTCACCTTAAGTAGTTAGCAACTTTACAATTGTGTTGCATTATTCTCTTAGTATTATTTTTTTAACTTTCAAAATTAAGTTATGGTATTCTTGAACTATCTCAAAACTTCAAATATATTTATCTTATGCACATTCCCATGCGTTTTAACACACTTTCACCCGTCACTATTGCTAACTGTGTAAGCACATTCATGGATTCATAGCGTATGACATGGTGTATAGCACTGAATCGCTCTATGCTTAGGTCGTACAAAAGTCCATTATAGCTTCTCTGATGGCAAAGAACTAGTTGAACATTATGACAATGCAGCAGGAGTAATCACAGGTGTTTCGTTTTGCAGTAACCTTATTGTCGTAGAGCGTAAATGGAAAGTGCCAACGATGCTGGGTGATGAAGGTTCATGGATTTACGAAATTGGAGAAGGACCTGAAACCGACGTCGCGGGTTTTAGGGAATCAAACTCCAATGTATTTTCCTAATTGCACTATGTACATTTTAGCCTCTATTTTGTCGTTGCGACACTAAGAACGCCTTTCAGTGGAGGATACGGAATCTGCCATATCCAATCAATACGTATCAACTTTCCATTGATGATACAAACACAACTATTGTTCTTCGGACAACAAATAAAAAGTATTTATGCTTTTACTTTACGCGCGGGTTTTCCTTTTAGATACTACAAACGCTTTACCATTCCTGATCTTGAACGAATTGGTGTTAGGTTGGATCTGGCATTACTTTCCAAAACGCACGCAAACAATACCCTCGTCATTACGGTAATAGTTCCGTTGATAATGGTAACGGTCCGCTTAGTACTTGAAACCGGAGGTCTATCAACAGTATGAAAAAGAACTTATGAAGGAACTTGCCAAAACGAAACCTATTTCTGGTGGTGATATTCCCTGTGCTTCGATGTAAACAGTGTTTTTTTAAATGTTGTTGGTGTGGAGGACTTGCTAGTCCGTGAGGATTTAAATCATATTGTACAAATGAGGTGTGACACCTTCTCTTAATTGTTTACAACTGTGCGTATCGACTAGCATTCAAAACAATGATGAACACTAGTTACTGAATTTCGTGGTCATTGGATCTTGTTGGTCTTAACAATGTCATCTACAAAGGATTTATATATCCTAAGTTAGCTTTCGTGTATTAACTCGATGTATATTGCCCCAAAGGCTTCGACAAACGGTTAATCTCCGATGCGGTTGGAACGGGTTGATACTGTTTCTTCTACCACTTATGCGAATTATAATGATGCGCTGGTATTTCTGGGACACAGGTGCTCATTCCCACCGATGTTTGTAAACCATCGGATGAAAACGAGCTGGTGGATTTGATTCTCCCTACAAAAATAATTACTACTTAGATTTTGATTAAGTAAGAGCGGCTTACTGATTGATTTGGAACCTCTTGCGAATTGGTGAAAGGTAAAGCGGATGTATTTTTATGTGTATATTGAGCGCTTAAAATCACAGCTTAAAGTATAAGTACGGGACTACAGGTAACCACTTAATGGGAAAAAATGAATGCTGTGATATCAACAGAACCATTTAATACAAATGGACTAGATGAAGTTGGCATAATTTTCACGATGCCATTTCCTGGCGGAATTTGAATTCCAAGACAAAGTACTTATTAGAATAAATACGAAATCCTTCCGAAACAATGAGCTTTGGAGATAATGATGCTCAGACGCAGGTGACTTATCACCAAGTGGTGATGATCCCATTATCTAAGCTAGGCGGCTTCGCTGTCAATCGGCAAATGGTTTTGATCTATGTAGAGGCGCTTTTGTCTAGCTAGGAAACAGCTCCAACTTCTCGATTAGGCTACGGGTGTCCTAGCGATGCCTCTATTTAAGAAAAAATTACCGCAGATCTTTAGAGCATGTGCATGTCAATGTCAGATGCAATCTAGAACACCTTCAGGTGGATTTTATGAAGCAATCGTCCCTCAAAGGGTTTCAAACCATTGTATCATAGGTAAATGAACGCGGTCAGGTAAAGTAAACATTACTCATCCAAATGATCCACAATTTCATATGAACTCAATTGAGGAAAAAGGGTGGATGCTGCCGAAAATCCACGTACACCTTAAATGGACGTGTAACCGTCAATGACAAGTAAAGCGCAAAAATGAATGGATGTTCTGATATTGTGTCGGCGTCATTATGAATCCAGGATCGTGTGGGTCAACGAATACAGAGGAAAATGCGTTAATTTAAGCTGCCGCTTTATAAGCGAAAAGTACTGTCGGAACAGCCGGAGGAAGGGTTTAGCAGCTGATAAGCTGCTAAATTTAGACAATACCGGCAGTGTTTTCTGCAGCCACGTTCACTTGATAAGTCGTGACGTCAAATTAGTCATGCGAGTTACTATTGGTCCACGGACAAAGACAAAGTCACGATTGGTCAAGCGTCTGCCAATGGCATTATCGGTGGTAGGGAATACGCGAATGCTGTGACATTGAGGTGACGCGCTGCATACCACACTGGCATTTGACGAAGGCGTGCGTGTGCATGCGCTGTTGATCGGTCGTGATGCTTCCACCCAGCCTCATCCTGTGCTTCTTCATTCTTATTCATCTAACTACCTCTTTGCCATGGTTCCCACCTACTCCCATTGAATTAGAGGATCAACGACTGACCTTTCGAACGGTCAACTTCCCCCAACTGCAGGAGCGTTTACTTGTCCAGTTCATTAACCAGTTGCGATCAAAAAGCAATGGCAACGATCTTGATGCCTCTCGCTTGCAGTGGACCGGTGTCACTATGTTCCGTGAGTCCAACTCTCCCAGATCCTGGCTGATTATCGCCGGAACTTCCTCCAAACTGAACTACACTGGAACTGCCTTTGTAAGTGACTTTGGCACAGTGCTTGGGTGTCAAATTGAAGTAAACCCTACCAGTCCTGGTGGATTTGACATTTCTACCTGTGAGATCCTCGGTTTAGACACTGGGACGCAAAAATTCAATCATTCCGATGCTGGACTTTTAGGCAAAGGCCTTCAGAGCTTGCAACTGCCTACCGGTGGAGTTGTTGTTTTTTGTGATCCTCTTTGGCATTCTTCTCAAGGCACTCAGTCTCCTGGGGGTAGGTGTAGTGTGCTTGAACGCATCAACGGCGATTGGTTGTCGGCTAGTCCTGTGGAATTCTGCTCCTCTGCTGGTCGTACACAGCCATGTGCTGGTGGTTTTTCCATTGACCTTCGGCTCTCCGGAGATGGTACAAATGTCCAGCTCCTCACAGGGTTTCCTTTTGCTCAACCTACTGGTCGCGTTCGTACCGTGGATGGCCTCTTGGGAATTGGCCAACAGCACATACGTGACATTGAATCAAAAGAGAAGGCATTTGGAACGTCAGTTGCTTGGTCACCTCATTTCTCTGGCCATAGTGACGCATTAGCCATCGTGGGTTCCCCCTCAACTGGTGTCCATGGCTTTCGAGTGAGCAATTTGGTGGAGAATTTTGAAACGGAGGAGTTGAGGATTACTGGAGACACCTTTGGAGGTCTTGGATTTGCGGTCGAGACGAGTCTTGCCGGCGCCAGCATGGTTGTTTTCGCGGGCGCCCCTTTTGAAGCGGTGGAGAGAGTGGGTTCAAATGCAGGACGAGTGTATGCGCAGTTCAGGAACGCTGAAGGAGTGCACAACTTCACCCTTGAGGGATCTCGAACCAATGAGATGTTCGGCTTTGCCATAGCTCGGATAGGTGACGTCGATGGAGACGGAATTAGTGAAGTAGCAATTTCTGCACCAGCAATCGGTGCGGAGAATGTCACTGGTCGCGTCTATATCCATCGCGTTTTACCAGATTTTCGACTTGAAAGTAATCCTCTTCAGGTAGGTAGCAGTATTACTATGATTTTGAATGACTCCAACATATATCTCCGTTTTAAACTGACTGAGCAACTAGTAGTAGTCCTGTTTACACTTTTGGTAAGTAGTGCCGTTGGGGTCTTTTCTCACTATAGTGGTCGCACTCGTCTGGTTCGTACGCAAATGAATACAGTTTATAGAATTTCATCCACCGTTCCTTGGTGTCATAGAAACGTGTATTATGAATTCCAAATAATCAGTCATCACAATTCTTTGATTACACTGGGGAATGTGTTTTTCTCCTGTCTGAGATTGGAATCACAACTTTCCTTGGTTTGGGTAGCCAACTCCCGTCATAGAATCATAAACGATGACTCGCAGTTCTCTTATACGCAGGGGAATTTGCGTCAACGTTTCATGACTCAGTTGATAGTTGAAATGCAGTGTAAGTTGTTTTTTCCTGGAGGTTATGCAACATTGCTTTTCATCTTCTTCAATGGTAAAATAATTTTAACTTAAGACTATCTCGACGGCTTCAATTATCCTCATCCTCAATAAACTGAGCCTTTTCCCATTTGTAAAGCAATTTTAGGATGCTGCCAATTCTTAGTGCACTTTTATACCATAAATTATTCGTTTTGCATGGGTGAGTGTTTTTTAGTGGCTCCAACAAACTGCCACTCGGAAGTAAGGTTTTGAGATTAATTTTTTAATCAAGCATCGTGATCGAAGCCTCAAGTCGCTTGGAAAATGTCCATCACTGTTTGGTGCGAGTGATTTGACAACTGGTATTCAAGATCTGACTTGTAAAAAGTTGAGGGATATTGAAGTGTTGCTGAGGTGTTGTAGGTAGGAAAAAAGTGGGTGGCATCACGCACCAGTGCTCTTCTATTTCGATTTGGAAAAGAATGGAATTGGTGGGTCACGTGGTAGTAACCTCCCTTTTAGCACATCGGACTGTCGTCCAACAAGATACGGCAATGAAAGAGGGGAAGTGCTTGGGGTCATTTTTTGCGCTTAAAGCATTTGTACTTGCTATTTTAAGCGATAAGGTCGGGACAATGTCCTGATTTCACACACTGTATTACCCAACACAAGTGTCCTTGTGCTTGATCTCACGGTGGATCACCATTAATTTTGATTTATGGCCCTGACATCTGTGATTGAAAAGTAAGATGCTCAGTGCGGTGAGGCTATTTCTGTTGCAGATACTGGAAGCACCCCTCAACGTAGTCGGTTTCGGCGTGTCGTTGAGCCGAAGCATCGACATAGACTCTGACGGTGGACCGGAAATAGCTGTAACAACTCTCGATCCTAAGGTGCCCGTTCTGATCTACTCCCTTCCCCTACGTCTTCGAGCAAAGTGTGCTTTCAGAGCTCATCCCCTAGTGACCCCAACGTCTATCCGAAAGGGTGACCTTGTGACACTCAAGATTACCATAAATTTCATCGACTCTGTCAATGATAAACCCTTTCCTGCGTCTGCTAGCTTCCTTAATCGCCTAGACCAAATCAACCCTGATGTCCTCTGGTTGGAACGCTACGAGTACCTCAGCGGTCAGCAAAATCAAAGCGATTTCTTGACTGAACTCCTTGTGGGCAGAGAATCCTCCAAACTGGACCCGAGTCAACCGAGATTCAGCCTCGAAGAGTTGTCCAGTGCTCGAGTTAGTGATCTTGGAGTTGTCACTTTGAAGGCTAAGCTTTTGGCTCAAGAGGACGCGAGGCACATGGACTTGGACATGGTACCTCTCCACGTGGCTTTTCGCTCGATTCTTGTAAACCCTCACTGCTATCAGTATACCCAGTTGTGTCCAAAGACCGCCCAACCTTCGATAGACTGGTCAGATTGTGTCTGGAAGATGCCTCCACCCACTTACATTTGTCCTCCGCATCCCAAGTGTAGTGCTGATTTGCAGGTCTCTATAAACGGTGGTGGTAAATCCCACATTCCCGTGCAGTTTGGACGTCGGGAGGATGCCAACCAGACCATGGTGTTTGTGGTGAGGAACAACGGGCCTACAAAGTCGGAGGGAGTGCGTGTGGTGTTGCGTACAATCGGTTGGCCGAAGAATGCCTCTCAGCCGGGATTTCGCGTCCTCATTAACAGTGTGCAGTTGAGAGATGCTGGTACAGGTGCATTTTTGGCTTCAAATGATCGGTCGACGGATCGGTGGTCGGTTAGTTTGTCGAGCAACGGGGCAGCTGCACTGATCACTGCCCAGCAGGGAACTATACTTTATCCGGATCAGGAAATAATGATTACTGTGGATACCTTTCTGGCTGGTTTGGCACCAAAGCGCTACGAAGAAGAGAGTGAGAGAATGGAGAGCATGGAGGAGGGTGAAGGCAGGAGTAGACTGTCGAATCCAGGGCTTCTGGCCAATATATCTGCCGCCGTTGGGGACCCAAGTGGAGAGACAAATATTGCCACTGGGATCTTTGATGTGGTCTACAAGCCCCAGGTGAGGATTAACCCTGGTGCTGCACCACCTGCCCTAGTGGACGCACGGAAGGAACCACCACATCTCAGCGGTGAGCTTTAACTTCTAGTCTATAGAAAACTTACTTATAAACCATTCAAGTAGACAAAGAACCCCGAAGACTTCGTGCGGTTCTTTGAATTGGGCTTATGTGTTTGCTGAACTTAAAATGGCAAATGGATTGAAATTTCAAAATCTGGGTATTCTGTTGAAGTAATGTGCCTTGGAATGCCTTACAGCTTTCACTCGATGGTAAGCGTGGGCTGTCCACCAAGTAATTCGGGCCACCATTTAGCAATCCGCCCACATGCTGTTAGTGTATTGCATGACACAGCCTATTTGATAATTACACTTCTTTGAAATGCAAGTTGAAAGGAAGTAGCTCGGAAGTGCTTTCGAGAGCTTATTCATGAGGGGGAAACGGAAAGTGCCTCGCTCTTCGTGAATTACCCATTCTGTGTTGCGTTTGATGAGGATACCAAATTTTGCCATCAGAGTGGTGTTAACACTAGTACGAACTTTTCTCATGGGGTCGATCATGGCCACTGAATTTCTGGTCGTTTGTCCAAAATAAAAAGTCCTACTGAACACAATCGTCAACATTGTTAGTTCTTTCCTCATAATGAGTTCTGTCATGCATCATCTCTTTCCCCCGTGATGTTGTTTTCGAGATCGCAACCGGCATTCGGTGAAGCTAGCTCCGTGGAATAGGTGTGTTCTACCAACAACCGCCCATCGGTTCTCTACATGACTTGAATTGTAAAGCCGTATGTGTGGAGATGGGCCCCACATTTGTGTTCATATTTTTAGCACAATGCAGTCCAACAATGCGCATTTTAGTAAAAACATTCTTAGTGCAAATAACTTAACCGTTTTTCGTCATAATTGAAACATTGGTGAGAAAATTTCTCGTCCTTTTCTGTGAGGTGGAATTGTTTACATCGTCCATTTGGCTGCGATGCATACGCTATGTTTACATCAAATTACGTGGAAGTAGACTCGATTCCACGCCTTTCGACATCCTAAAAATGTTGATGTTTTTGACTTGCTTGTTGCTGTTCTCAATTGTTGGTTTTATTTAATGCATCCGCCTCGTGACAAGCTCTGAGTTTGCGCCGTTTTCCAATGTTACTACTTCCTCTTTACAAAGTCAATGCTACAGATGCGCGAGAGAATGTGCCGATGGATAGTAAGGCTATTTGACCTCCGGACCGACTTGAGATCCACATTTGGGTATGTGAATGGATCCCATGCAATTATTTCAGCGTGGGATATTTACAGCTTTAACAAACATTGAGCAATGGGAATTCACGAACTGCCAAAAAGACAGCAACTGAGTAATGCGCCTGTTAACGATTACGAGGGTTTTTGTTACTTTGCAACTGCATGGTTATTTTTTCCCTTGCAGCTGCCACCAAGATAGTGCTAGGGAATGAGGTGGGTCCACAACTTGAACACGTATTTTTGGTGGAGAATTTCGGATCGGTGGACCTCCATGACATAGCCTTTCAGTTGGACATCCCTATCCGCACGGATGAGGGAGACACGCTCCTTTACCTGGCGGACAAGGCCCGACTGCTGGACGACAGCGCCTCTGGCAAGTTGCATCCTCTCCTATCCGCTTTTCACAATTACTTTTTTTTACCTTTTTGACTCGGCATTTCGACATTACTGGAGGCTACCGATGTTTACTGAGGTCATTAGTCGATTGACTGATTTCATAACTTGATGCTCAGGCTTGAAGCACGTTTTCCCGACTAACAAACCACAAGGCAGGTGTTTGTGGCTTTTTCAATGATGCCATTTGACGTTGTGCCAACCTGCTGTTAAGCAAATAATGAGTACTTGTAAAGTCGCTTGGCGATAAGTTTTAACGTGATTAGTCATGTTAGAGGTCCCAAAATGGATTTTAGTATTGACCTGGTTAAGCTTTTCGTTATCTTCTAAATTGGCATAGTTATAAATTCATTACAATGCACTACTTTGGCTACTTTCAATTATGTCGATTTCGGCAACGTTTTACGGTACCTCATCTACACTCTTAGGGCGGCCATAATGAGTGATTTGTGAAATCGGCGCTCTAGGATATGGCCCAAGTGACATTGATGCCTGTCAAATTAAACTGGCATGTAGGCTGAGTTTCTAGAATCCTTTCTGAAATCACTTGACTCCCATAGAACCCTGGTGACCGCACTTAGGCATTTTATCGCCTCTCTAAAAGCATAACTACGTTTATTTTTATCCTGCTTCCTATTACTAGACTACGAGTGGGTGAACACGCTGCCCAAAATGGTGTCCGCTAATGGAAGTGAGGTCGGCTTTTGCGAAATCGACAAAGAATTTGTCAACCCTCTCAACCTCACAATACGTGAGGCCGGATCTGAAAGCAAGTCCTCTTTCCTTCCAATTTGAATGCTTATTCGTTGGTGGAGATCCTATTTAAGGCATCAAGTTAGTTCCTTAATGTGTAGATTGAAACAGGCTCTGAGTCTTCGAACATACACACTCACAAACACACACAAAGTGATGCATGCTCCTACAAATTCTTGATCAACTTCCCACATGGGTATCTGCTCACTTTGTCCATCGTCGATCACTGTTATACTGCCTCCGACAGCTGGAAATACATCAGAGTAATCTGCAAAATATTCTTCACCTACATGTTCTAAGGGCTCTAAGGAAACCATCGGTATTAAAAGTGAAAGACTGGACGGACTCCAAAGATGAGTTTTAATTTAGACCAGCTTTTGAGTGCTCGGGGCAGAACCACCGCCTAGTAAATCTCACTTCTGCCGTTGACAGCAAGTACTTGCTGCTCCCTGAGCTCAGGCACATCAGTTCAGTTGAACCCTTCGTTATCGTAACAACAGCCTTTGAGAAAAGTTGTTTGGTTTGCGTGATTGCTTATTTCCCTAATTTCAATCCTTTGTCGTGCCTGGGGTTAAACTGTTTATATGAGTAATGTTTCCAGTGTTGCTAATGTTAAGGCTTGTTATTTCATCTGCCTCGGAAATTTCCTCTTCCCCTTCACAATTAAAGGGGATAACTGATAACTGATTTTGTAGCCTGCATTTGAAGTATGCTGACCCTCTATGTTATCTTCCTACGCCTGAAAGGGTATTTATTGTGGACAAATTAGTGTGCCTACGATTGCATCCAAAAGTGAGTCGCAAAATCGTTGGATGGGAGTTACCTCGCATACAAAGAAATAATTGTGTTAGAGGTTGGTGCTCTGATTTATGTGAGTCGGTCGTTGGGCTGTTGGCCTCACGAACAGGATGACAACGCCCACGTCCCCCCTCCCCTCATTTCTTTCGCCCACGCCATGGTCAGTTGGCTGACTCATCCGGATTGGGGCCAAGTGTCAACTCTACCGCTGCCCTGTTCTCCTGCACACCGCAATAGACGCATTCTCCTTTGTCCCTCCATTCCGTTACAACTGCTGCTTCTCGACATGAGTTGCATTGTCTACTTGAGCACTTGGCAGCAAGCAAGGGGACGAATCCATTTTCGCATACGACATCCTAGAGTTTCCCCACCTCTCTAAAAGTGACATCGTAGCTCTTATTTGAAGGCAAATACTGAAAAGGGATTTTGCCGGACCTTCTTGTGTTTATTGCAGAAGGCATGGACCAAGTTCATTTGTCTGATGGTTATCATAAAGCAACTCATTCGCGGAATATTCGCCATGGGTGACTATCAGTACGTAGTGTCCTGTGCGTTTTGTTTATCTCTCCCCCAGTGTCCTATAAGGTTTAGCTTGTAGTCTACGCCCTGCCACCTAGAATGGGTCTGTCCAAATGAAAATGTCACAGTTGAACACTTCATTACTTCCATCACGACACAAGTATTAGGCATCGTAGCCGAATTGTTAGACGATGGGAATTGATACTGACCAAGTTGCAAGAGAAGCTGGTGGAGGAGGAACACAAAATTTCTCTAAAACAACATATTGACATGACTCATCAGGAATGCTTCCATCCCTGCCCCACATAAGACGACTGATTGTCTCGCATATCTGACACTGGCAGCTGTTTAGGCCTCGAATGCGTACACATGCCCGAGGGCGTCCTACTTTCTCATCCTTGGCACAAACTGTCCTGTTCATGACTAGATGGTCAGGCAAAAGCGAGTCTGAAGTGCTTCACCTTCTTAGTAATGAAGTATCCATCCTCTGTAACCCAGGTCTTCCGCATGGTTTCATTCCGTGATCCTGACTATAAACGCTCGTTTGTAAGAAAAGGGAATTTTAACAATGCTTTATCGTTTGTGCAGTGTCGTAGTGGATTGCCTTAGCTAGCCATGTGTGGGCGTTACCAGCTCCTATGGCCTTCATTGGAGGAATGACAACCCTACGACTACGCGATTGAGTGAATCTTAGCGCATCAAATGGGCAAAACGACAATTAAGGTATCCATTTTGCTCCACATCAGACTGCCATGCCACTTAAAAATCCTTCTGCGGTGGAAATTTTACGACTTCCTATCGATCTATCCACTCGTTTTTGTCCAGCTCCACCAATTTTGCCACAATAAATGTGACTGCAAAACATGAACGGACATCGTGTAGCGGAAGTAGGAAATTCAGATCGTACTAACATCGACATGGATTTACCCAACCTTCAATCATGCAGAAGATGAACCAAAAAACTGCACCTGCCTGTTTCGCTTCACTGACGTTCACTCTCTAATCTGAAATGAACTTGAGTTTCTAAATCAGGGCAATCATTGACTACTAAAGTTCAATCAAATTATGACGTTTGTGGTAGAATTAAAATTTGTTGACTTTTAACTCTTAAATTTGTTGGTTTGAGTGTACTGTGTGTGGCGTCGACCTTGACTCCATTGACTTTCCGTTGTTCATCTCTCTTATGCGTGATTTATGCATTCACGGGAGCTCTGTAAATATTTGGTCTAGAATCTCCACACTCTGGTCGGCCAACAACTCGCCAACGAAGATCAGTAGAAGAGGAAAAAGTTCTTCTCCCTAGTCGAGTGACATACACGTATCCTTTCGGTGACAATCGCGCAGACGTTTACTTCAGGCGCTCAGGTCAGCGACAGTCCACCATCTCATGTGCCGTTCCCAAAGCACAGTCCACTGATCACCGTCGGAGCAATCTTGATTTCACGGTCATTTGTGCTAGGGTTATTTGTCACTTGAACAAGTTACTACGCGCTGACGCAGTGCGTGTGACTCTGACCGGATGGCTCTGGACTCCCACCTTTTTCAAGCATCAGCTTCCAGACGTCAAGTTTGTAACCAGACTTAGTCTGCTGGAGTGGGGTGAGCCACCCCAAGTCCTTCGCTTCTATCCGTCCGCTCGTCTTGACTTTCCTGATGATCCACCTGCATACGAGTTACCACAAGCGGTTGTATTTCGCGGTGTCACCGGCAAGTACCTCTCCCACATTCCTCTTTGGCCAATCATCGTAGGAGTTGTTCTAGGCAGCATTCTTCTCTTCAGTTTGATCGCCTCCCTTTACTGTTGTGGCTTTTTCCGTCGACGACAAAAAACAAAAGAAGCAAAACGAAAGTCAATGATGGCAGCCAGTGCTGCAAAAGGCAGACAACCTATACACAAAAATGACGACCATCCGGCGGCTTTTCTACTAGACAAGGGAACGAACGCAAAAGATGTCTCATCGAATGGAAGGAATGCGGACATTTACACAGCAAATCCGATGCATGCTGGAAGTCCTGACTTGCTCTACGCCCCTGAACCCCAACCACCAACGCCACCGCCTGCAGAGAACCCAATTGGAGGCAGTCGGGACTCTGAATGGATGGGAGAAGGTCCAAAGAACGGGAGTGTGCGAGAACCCCAAGAAGAAGTCGATCAACCAGGAATTGAACAAATTTTGGCAGACAAAGACGACAACCGTGATCCTCATGACCCTTCACCTTCATCGAGTTCCGGTCTGCCAGATTGGTTAATGAGCGAAATAAAGGCGAATGAAGCCAAAAGTAAAAAATCTAAATCCTCTAAGAGTGATTCCTAATCGATGTTATCATTGTTTTGTACATCCACTAACACTCGCCACTCAGCTTACTTCTTCTTCACTTCATGCTTCCTTGCATTGTTAGCTCCTGCTGTCCGGATTGAAACGGCTTGTTCAGTCACATTTTTTTACAAAATAACTCTTGAAGTCCATTCGACTTTTCATGCTGCTCTTATGCGCTTTAATGTGACCTGTACACTCGACTTACGAAGACACGGCGGCAGTATTGGTTACTGTTTGTATCAAGAACAGTATGTGGTGTTTGGCGAGAGTCGCCATTTCAGACTTGTGGAATTACGCAATTTTGTTGTCATGACAGCGTTTACACTTACCGCCAGTATATATGGATGTCATAACTATTAATAATCCCGGAGGTGTATTTGAGTCCCATAAATCATGCTACTGACGTGTGGAAAGACGGGTTTGGAGCAGCGGTGAGGACCCAAACTCCTACCCGCTACGACATTGGCAATGATTCCAGTTGCTGAATGTTGTGCGTTAGCAATACATGCCACATCTGGGTGTGGCTTGTACGTGCGTGCGTATGCAACCGTGATTCCACTTGAATCGTATATCATGTCAGACGAATCATTAATAATGCTTAAGGCATAGCTTTTTGGTCCTTTAATTGCGTGGATCTCGAACCGATAAACAAGATCCGAATAGAGGTGAAACCATCGGTTCATACATGTGCAGATGTGAGGTCAGTTTATGCGTATCAAAGTAGACATTAATGCTGTAGAGTTTGAGTTTCACCGTCCACTTCTAAGGACAGACCATCGATGGGGTAGCGCTTGAGTGTCCAGATGCGTAGAGCGTGTCGCTGATGTGATTAATGTGGTCGGATGTGGAGTGACGCCTCAAGAGTTGTTGAGGTGTCTGGATTTTTGCTACAAAACATTTGAAATCAAAAGTTGTGCTTGATAAAGTTGTGTTGCACTTTAATTCCTCCCACCAGCGCACAATTTCAACGTCCGGCAGTTCAGAGGTGTGAGAAGAACGTAAAAGCGATAAGATGTTTGAAAGCCTTTCCATCGGTACCATCAAAGTGTACCGAAATGCTAAATATGGCTAATAAGATGGTATTTTCAACTACATTAACACTTCCGAATTCCTAAGCCGAGTGCAGACATAAAGCGAAACTGCACAATGCTTTGATATGTTGTTTAGCTCTGCCCTCGTTTAGGCGGCCGCTCAAGACTCTGGCGGCTATAGTTCCGTTTGGCGGCATGACTTCTGCGCCGTGCCCGGAGTCATAGCAATTCGAGCTCCTGCAAATTCAAGAAGGAATGGTCCTTTAGACGATTTCGAAATCTCCCCATCTTTAAAATGGCTCCTAACAGTATTTCTAATGGCTCAAACTGGTATTTGGGATTACATAATAAAATTTCAACTCGAAAAACGAATTTGCCAATACCCAGCCAGCAGTCCTCCTTCACAAACAACAGCCCTTGAGAAGTGGTGGTGTACGGTGTAGTTCTGCTACCTCTTGTTGGGGTTTCCGTTCTCTTTAATGATTCTTGACTTCCCCACTACTAATCAAGAAAGAAATTAATAAAAAGAAGCTCTCAGCTCCAAAATTCTGTCCCAAAGTTTGCACATTGTCAGGAACATTAGCAATAAGAAGAGCAGTAAGTTACCACTGCGGAGTGGTACAGTGCGTTCGGTCCTACCTTTTAAGTAGTGAGTGCTTTCAACTTGAAGCACTCTTTAAAAACACAACTTTTTGCGGAAGCCAGTTGCTCAAAGCACTTCTTTGTTATAATCGACACAAAAGCACACTTTTATGGCAAATTAAGTTTTGCAAATTTGCGTTTATTGGGTTAGGAGGAAGTAATGCCTGTTGCGCTTGATTTTCCCGAAAAAGTGATTTGTATGCGGCTATTCATTTCACTTTTGGCACCAAGTTGGGATGGAATTCCATTTTAACTGCGTTGCCCATATATCTGCCACTATGGCATTAAACTCTAAGTCGGTGCAACTATTTTGGTTGGACCAATGGGACGGAGAAATGAGGCCTGTGTTGGAGAGGATCCAAAGGGCAATTTCGCCTACCATCTGCTAGACCACCACGTAAGAATGCGTGTTTTAGGTGTATTAAAACCAACAACAAGTGTCTACTACGTCTCGGCTTGACACTGTGGAACCCACGTTAAAATAAACGTTCGTGGCTAAATGTTTATGAACGTCTAAATAAAGGTTTTGCTACTGCCCACACCAATGGATATCCGACAGTTGCACACACGACATGCGTAAATTCGCTGTATTACTTAATGCAACCATTTAGCTGGAAATCTAGTTAACATTGCACAGTTAACAGATGTGAGGTGTTGTTCATGTGCGAACATGCCCTAAGCATCATTTAACTCGCCCTTTAATGGCTGTCCCTCATTGGGCACGGGGTGACCAGGTGCTGCGGGTCCCACCCTCCGCCCGTGGGGACGGGGCAGCCCACTTCCATGAGTCAGGGCGCCTGGATTATTGGCTGCAGCAGGCATTTCCAAGTTAAGCAGCACTAACCCACCAAGAAAACTGCTCCCATTGTACGCAACCACTGATCCATCGTTCGAATAGCAGCTCCTGGGTATTGAGCTGAATTCCACTTTTGAAGGCATCGGCTAAACTTCAGTACAATGTTTCGACCAAAAAATGCTTTGCGGCCTGTTCATTCGACTCACAATTTGGAATATGTGGTCCATTGCATCATATGTTCAAAAAGCGCTGACGAAAAGATTGAATCATGAGGGAGTTGGAGCAGCAAAAATTAGAGGAATGACGGTAACTAGACGGCGAGTGATTAAGTTGAATTGTCGGGATAAATTACAGGTGAGCTGAATTCCTTGGTAGATTTTAATGGAGGACAGGAGGTTTTAAGCTCCATCTTCGCAACACTTTGAAGCGATGGATTAGGGTGGTTTGCATTGCTTAATGGTGTGAATCGGGTCACGAAGACAGGTAGCCCTTCATTTAAAGTCGGCGTTATTTACCGGAATGTGCTACACTAAAATCATTTATTTCTCGTTTACTATAATGTTTTGCGCAATTTTATCACGTCTCCGTTCCAGCGATGCGACACTTGGTTTAGCGAATTTTAGACAGCCAGACACATAATTTGTGGTAGCTCAAGCTGGCTTGATATTTCTGCCTCAAGTCTTCTGTTCGCCAGGATGAGTAACGGCGCAGATCTGAGGGCGCTTGCAAATATTAGCAGTTTTCTCTGCATGAAACGCTTTTATTAGTAAGACAGTCTCCGACAAAGCGATCCTAGCCAAATAAAATGTCAAAACTGTTTAAAAGGGGCTTTACAATTTTTGGTTTTGTTATTCGTTGAAATCGCAATAATGGAGGCGAAAATTCATTTTTCTGCTCTGTTATAGTGTAAAAAGATTAAGTGCTGCCATGTAATGAGTAGTTAGTAGGTGAGGCGTTCGACACGACTTCGAGTTGCCTTACCTGCAACTCATCTTCAACCTTGGCGCAGATGATTCACCCAAATTCAACCACTCATCTCTGCTCACCGAGTTCTTTTTGGCAAGAAGATATACGAGGATAAGGGAGCTAAGACACTTTAAAAAAATAAGCTGTTTGGATGGATGACTCGGCTCCACTACAGATTAACAACAAGCAAAACACGTGCTGCTTCACTCACACTAACTGCAACCGATGGTCATTTCCGGCTGACATTTTTACGCATTTAATTTTAAGTAATGCAATTGGTCGGTTTTTCATTGCCTCTTATTTGAAACTCTTGATTATTCTCCACACCTTTAGGGAAGAACGTTAAAACTTGGGTAGTTGTCAAAGTAAAAGTTTGTTCATCCATCGAGTGGCCTAAAGAAGTGTGGGTTTGTGAAAGCGTTTTGCATACAAAGTCATAGAAACTGTCCCACCACGAGAAGGCTTTTAATATTCTTTAGTCTTCCTCTATTTTGGAGATAAAAGTTTACGCAGCTGCAGAACTTGAGTTAATTGAGACTCGATTAACTGGACGTCCCTGGAAGGAGCTCTCGCAACGTGTTCGTGCTGTTCTTTGAAGCAATTATAAACTTGTGACACCTAATATGAGAGCTTGGCATTTTGTTTCATGCAATATCTTAAGGTTGTTGATGCGTGTGTGACAAGAAATATGCAAATGAAAATTCCTAGCGCTGGTTGCGTTCGCTAATGGAGGCCAATGGAAAAGATTTTTCCTACAATATACCCGCCAACGCTTTGCACCGACCTTAGAGGATGTGATGACGACTGTCACCACTTATTCATTCAGCCTTTGCAACAGGTAAACACACTTTTTGGCACCGATGCCGCGGGACTTATGTGCAGACAGCACCACTATTTGTTGATTTGCACGCGTGCTCACGTGCGCCCCGATCGATGGGTCATTGTTCCTTGAAGGGAACCCTGCATTCGATGAATGCCCCCAATCATGCCAAAAACAGAAAACAGCCTTTTGTCACCGTTTCAATTGAGCTGTGCCGTGCATTCATGATAGGTCTTGAGTGTCTCCTGGGGGCGGAGGACAATGCTCGGGCAGACTTAAGACTGCTGCCATGACTACGAGACCACCTTACATGGCGAGGGTGTAATGGCGAACCACCTGAGTGGCCTCTTCACTAAATCCGAGTATTAAATAAAAGGAATAAAATATTTATGAGTACCAGCCTAGGTTGTTATTATATTACACTGCACAAAGACAATTATTTGGGTTCTAGCAACAACTGCCAGTTGCGGCAATAGTGGTGCTAAGGTTTTTTGATTGTGTTCACGCAATACAGCTGCCGCACGCACTTCCACGGAAAGGTTGCAGAAGACCGCACATATTTAAGACCATTTATATTCCTTGCTAGCATTGAAAGGATATCAGAGATAAAGATGGCATGGACTGCCTCGGGACACAGAAGTAGAGGTTCCAGACCAATAAAGTCAGGATTTTGGAATTGTGTGAGTCATCAAATCGTTGTCACTGCCTGCAATTACTCTGACTTCTCATTTATGATGCGCTAAATGGCTCTGGAAAGACCCATACAAAATCGGGCTGCGGCACACGTTTAGAGGCATCCACTTCAAATTTGGAGACGAAATGAAAAGGAAGATTCTTTTGTTCCATCCTGCTCATTTTTCCTTCCGTTGCGTGCTTTGTAAATCTTTTGTGTCAAATTAGGATTACAAAAAGACAAAATAAGGTTTTTTGAGTGCAATAGTCGATGAGCGGCGATAGCTTAAATTGGCACTGTGGAATAGAAATTGCATTAAGAAGACATTATAATATTCGCTTTGACATTGACACCGATTGACGGCATTGCATGTCAAGTAGAAGAGGTTTATTTGACACTAGACAAATAAGCTGAAAGTGAGGTGGAAAGAAGCTGTAACATTGCGTGCTTTATTGTTACAGTGTGAATGAAAAGCTTAAAAGAAACCAGAAGGCCTGATGGAGACGAAATTAGGTCAATGCAGACCCCTCACTACAGCATTTTATTGTCGAAAATGCACTACGCTTAGGCATAAAGCAAGGATTTAATGCTGTTTCATCAAATAAAACGTGGCAAATTACTTTCTAAATTTGCTCACACAGCACTACAGTTTACAATAGGTAGGCAAATAGAAGTAAGCCCTCTTAATTTTAGTTATTTTTGGATGCACTTTGTAAGACAGGCCGCTGTCTTGTTAAGTCCTCTTAAGCGAGCTGCCCTTTCTTGGGCAATTCAAGCGTCAAATGAACTGAGCTTCATTTCTTGATTTTGTGGGACCGATTGTTTGACGATTTACCAATCGACTGTGCTGAGTTAGGCCATTTCCAAAGCTCAGCTAATCCTTTTGTGGTAGTATCCGATGGGTGTTGTCCATGCATATGCAGAACCCGACAGGAAACTAAACACATGTAAAACTGAGAGAACATTTTGGCAATAAAGAAGACACCCAATCGGGACCTTAAAATAGTCTACATCGGTAGAATCACAACTTCAGTCTTGAAGCTACCGATGGTGCATGGAAGCACAGACTTTTTTTCACAACAACACGGAGGTAACTTGTGCTAGCATAAAGCATAAATTATGCCAGAGGGCACGAAAAGGTCTTACATTTCCTTCATGCACCTGGTAGGTGGGTAGAGCTACGGGCAGTTAGACTTCGTTAGTCCTGTCCCTTCCTTTTGCAATATTAAAAATTCATGGCTTAGAGTTGAGTGCAGGTGTTAGGGGCAATCTTTTCCAGAGATCGGTGATGCAGGCGTCCGTGAGCTTCGCATCGCATGATGCCCGAAGGTGTGTGTGCGATGCGTAGACCCGCTTGATTTGTCATATCGCTTTTGAGTTGAGGTTGGCAGTCTAATGGTAGGGCTGCGACACGTTGTTTGTTAGGGCCAGATTGCACCTTCTGGTCCAGGTTGTTGATGCGTTAAGAGACATTCAAATTTGATCACTTCTTCTCTTTAACGTGTTTGGATCGCAAACTCCAAATTCTACCATCGAGACAGGATAAGTTTGGTGAAACATTTTAGGCGATTCAATTGCTTAATCCTCGTTTCGGCTGTTTAGTTGCTAAATCAAAATAACGAGTATCATTTGGAAATGCGGCTTGAAGAACTGCATTGCACAGTTTCTGATAGTAGTGCCCTCCGATTTAACACTTTAAAGGTGAAACGGAGGGCGACGCCAGACGCAAATTACATGCAATTTCGGGACGTCTGGTAGCAACCTGAAGCTCGCAAAGACTATCAGGTGTGATAATTATAATATCTTTAAAGGGTATTTCAAGCAGCAAAATATTTTCATAAAGGAAAACACAAAATGCTGTCTCCTAGTCGTGATGAGTCAACGCACACACACACCGAATAAGTCCCTCCTCCCAAAATGTCATCTTCAGTCATGAAAGATTATGGCAATGGAGAGAGACGCGACGAGGGCACTACATACCATGCGTGACGCAACAGAGAGCGGTGACTGCATGCCTTAATTGTGGACAAATCGGACGGACAGCCGACGACTCTTCGACAACACCTGGTGAAACATTTGATCCCATGCCTGGTAAGATTGCAGCCTTACAAAAAGGTTGTACTAATAGATTCCGAAATGCTAAGGCATGCACCCAGAAGTGGCTTCAATGGCTATTAAGACTAACAAAACAAAAATAATGATGTCGCCTTTGACATTTAGGCATGAAAATATACAAATTCATTTGCAAAAATAATTTACTGTGGTATAGTTCATGAAAGAGCGGGGAAAGCGCGGGGTTAGCACGGTTCCCTTTTAGAGACTGGCTTTGCAATGAAATAGTGAAAAGTTATTTTGAACTACTAAGGAAAAGAATTCTGTTGGCATTACAAGAACCAATAAACATTGCACGGCCGAGGTAAGGCAAACAATAACACTGCGTTAGATGAAAGGGCATTTCCCTACTTTGTACTGAGCCAGACAAGTGTTGTTCCTGTGAGGGGTGCCGACACCACACGAAGTGTCAGTTTCACAAACTGCAATTAGTCAAATAGTTTTGTGCAGCCATGGAATTTCGAAATGCCACCAACTATTGGGGAGTCTTTACTAAATGAAGGTCTTTTGTTGTGTTCTCTAATCCACTCTAAATCTCGTAATTTTGGGGGTTAATTGAAGAGGTTTCCTCC